ACACACACACACACACACACAAACACACACACACACACACTCATTCGCAATCAATCAATCAATCAATCAATCAATCAATCAATCAATCAATCAATCAATCAATATCAATCAATCAATCAAACCTGTTTTTTTTCCAAGTTTTTTGTTTATTTATTTTAAAATTTTGCATCTTTATTTTTCTAAAACACCTTATACCCCTACAAAAAATAGAAATTCATTTCTAAAAAATACAGGTGAACTCAGGGACCATATATCTGATGATAAAATTCGACAAAAAAAAAATCCAGCTTTTCTTTATATATATCATCATATATTTTTCTTTAAATCGAATTTTGTTTTTGATTTCTTAAAAATCCTAAACAAAGTCGGATTCCAAAAAAAAAAATATGGGGTGTTGGGCTTAAAATTCCCTATAACCCCATATATATCTGCCTACGGTTTACCGGGCAGTTCTATTTGACGATATATATATATATATATATATATATATATATATATATATTTTTAGGCTATTATTTAATTCAGGAAAAATCTGGTAAATTCGGGTCCACGGCGCGGATCCGGTAGGCCGCGGAGGCAGCCGTGAATACGTCCGCCCTCCGAGCTCGGCCCCGCGAAAGCGTCCGCGGGTGTTTCATAGGGCGGGGGTCCATCGTATTACAAACGCGGGACCCCCGCCTTGCACAAGCCGGTAGGCGGGGTTCCAACGTTTCACAAACGTTGGACCCCCGCTTACCGGCTTGTGCTATTGGCAGGGGTCCAGCGTTTGTAAAACGATGGACCCCCGCCTACCGTCCGTGCTATTGGCAGGGGTCCATCATTTTACAAATGCGGGACGCCTGCCTTGCACAAGCCGGTAGGCGGGGGTCCAGCGTTTGTGAAACGATGGACCCCCGCCAATAGAACGGACGGTAGGCGGGGGTCCATCGTTTTAGAAATGTTGGACCCCCGCCAATAGCACAAGCTGGTAGGCGGGGGTCTGTGAAACGCTGGACCCCCGCCTACCGGCTTGTGCTATTGGCGGGGGTCCAGCGTTGGACCCCCGCCTACCGGCCGGGCTGTTGGTAGGGGACCAGCGTTTGTGAAACGCAGGACCCCCGCCTACCGGCTGGGCTGTTGGAAGGGGACCAACGTTTGTGAAATGATGGACCCCCGTCTTGCTCAAGTCGGTTGGCGGGGGTCCCGCGTTTGTAAAACGATTGACCCCCGCCTTGCACAAACCGGCCGAAGGCGGTCCAGCATTTGTAACACGCTCGGCCCCCGCCTTGCAGAAGCCGGTAGAAGGGGGTCCCGCGTTTGTAAAACGCTTGACACTCGCCTTGCAGAAGCCGGTAGGCGGGGGTCCAGCGCAGGACCCCACGACGTTTGTTGTTGTCGGCAGGCGGGGCTCCAGCGTTTGCCGAACGCTGGACCCCACGTCGTTTGTCTCTGTCGGTGGGCGGGGGTACAACGTTTGCCAAACGATGGACCCCTGACTGTTGACAACACCAGGCGAGGGGTGTCCAGCATGAGGGAAACGCTACACCCCCCCCCCCCCCCCCCGGTTGGTGTTTGGTGCTGTTGAGTGTTCACTTTTTTTGCAGACTCTTTATTCCCAACCCCCGCCCGTGAAATGAGCGCCATTGGCATGTGGGTGGCGGTTTGCTTTAATTGTTTGCCATGTGCCATCTTGTGCGGTGTGAGATAGAGATAGGTGACACTGTTGCATCCTTGTCCTTTTCCTTATGGATTTCTTCTCTAGGGAGTGGTCGGAAGGGTCCGAATGATGGGGATAAAAGGTTCAACAACAGGTCGAAACTGTACCGCGACAAGTTGTGGGCTCTCGACTGGGTCGGAGTGCCCGGCGAGCCCGGGTGCGGTGCTGCTATGTTTTTGACGGAGGACGAAGGGGCGACCTGGTACTATTGTGGTGGCATCATCAGGTCTAAAATGGACAAGGTCACGACGGAGAAGGGGAAGGTCGACGAGCGAGATTTGAGGAAGTTCTTCCTCACACTTGTTTACAATGAACAAGGTACCGACTGGGTCAAGACTGACCACAAGGTCAGCCTCGATCTTGCTCTGTTCAAGGGGTATGGTCAGAAGGCATTTGTTATGAAAGCTTTCGGCGGCAAGGGAGATGGGAATGAGTTTAGAATGCTCTTACCCGTTGAATTCCTCAGCAAGACCAACGAGAAAAGGAAAAGTGGTCAATTCCCGACGGTCGGCGCTGGTCACCAGCTCACGATGCCTCTTGTGTCGTTCGACAGTCCTGTGGAAAGTCTCGCAGGCTTATCAACGTGCTCTAGCGATCGGCGGCAGGTTGTGTGGTCACCACAACAACCTGTTGCCGGGAAACAGAAACAAATTACTTACTTAAGGCGTTCAGGGGGTAGGCCATAGGCGATGACCTCGAAGACGATGGAGCTCGCCAGACGTCCTTCGGATCTTTCCGAATGTTCTCGTGCTGCTGCCAGCTCGCGCTCGTGGGACACCCCGCAACATCAAATGGACGAGGAGTCAGATGAAGAAACAGAGGAAGACGAACGGGTTTCTAAATTGGACTCGCGGTTCTTGGCGACACCAGGGCACATTCGGGGCGAAGGCTCTTGCGATGTGAATGTGGGGCGGGAAGCTGGTGGAGGTGGCGAAGCCCGGTTGAGAGGCGATGGAGAATATGACGAAGATGAAGGCGAGTGTGGTAGTGGCGACCAACGAGAAAACGTTGGAGGTGGGGCATCCCATTGTGATGGAACGACGGAGCAAATGGAGTGGGACAGAGTTGCGGCGAGTGGTGGGGTGGAATATGGTGGTCCGGGTGGTTCGGAAATGGAAGACCGGGAATTGAAAGACAAAGGAGGAGATGTCGGTGTTTCCGCGGGGCTGACTTCCAAGAGGGGGGGAAAATGCACAGCGGAAGAGTCGCCGACGCCAACTGCTCCTGAGAAGCAAGTTCGAAGGAAAGCTTTGGACGAAGCTCGGGTCGTCTTGGATGCATCTCAAGGGACACGTGGTGAACCGAATGTGAAGCGCAAATCAAGTGCTCGGATTTGCAAAACGTCACAACCCAAGAATCTCGTGTGGCCATCAAGGCGCCAAAAATCAGATGACTCCAGCGACGACAATGAAGGGGTGGCCCCTCGCTTGCTCTCCCTCCCTGACGACGTCGAACATGAGACGAAGAAACCCAGTGCGATCAACATGACGCAATGCTACTTCCTCGAGAAGGATGAGGAGGGCAAAAAGAGAAGAGACCCGTCGAGGGTGGTAATTGACGCCGTGCAGATTCTTCGAATTCCGGACGGAGATATCGCCTTCAATCAGCGATCGCTGAACATGGCCATCCTTGCAGGCCTCGATGCGGCTATCAAGTCGTCGACTGGGCCAAGGGGCGAGAATGATCCTGCTGCGTGGGAACCGCCGGAATTGGTGCTGGCTCCAATTACGCCATTGAAGGACGATCCGGATAGGCAAGGGACACGAGTCCTTCCAAAGGACTTCGATCCCGATAGGGCAGACGAGTACTTCTATTACCCGGTTGCCGGCCAGCATACTGCCGAAGCCATGAAAAGAGCAGTGAAGAGGGATTCCGCAGCAGTGGACGTGTTCGGATTTCGAAATGAAGACCGTGTACGGATCATTTATTTCGACGACGACCACACGAATGGGTATGTGTATGTTTCGACATACGACAACACGAGAGGTGACGACGCTATGCTGTCGTCGTTCCACCAAGCCTGCCAAGACATCATAAATTTTTGGGATTCGATGAATCGGATCGGACCTATGGGAAACGTGTCCAAAACGGATCCCACCGGTTTGACGCACCAGGAAGAGTGGAGGAAGTTCATGAAAATTTGCATGGGGCGGTGATGTGACAAATCCTTGTGAACTGAGGCTTTGGCTCCGAAGTGGCAACAGGACTAGACGAACAGGATGAGGGGATACATGAATGTCGCCACATGTAGGGACCAGATATGGCCATTGGTGAAGGAGTTTTTTTAGAAGTTCGAAGCGGGGGAGTTGTCGCTACACGACAACAAGTGCCCAAAGGACTTGATGGGGAGGCAGGAGGGGCGCATGCCAGGCCAATTCGTTGAAGAGGTGCAGGGAAAGAAGGAGTTGTTCCATTGCATTTCAGCTAAGGACGGGGGATCAAACGCAATGGTGTCCTTCAAAGATCTCGTTCCATCAAACTTCAAATGTTTTGGGGATATCACGGCACGAGAGAAGGAAATTGCTTTGCGTTTGATGATCAATAAGAAAGTCATCGCCACAATTAGACTGGTTCCTCCTGGGAAGATGAACATGACCAAACTCCTCGACATCATAATGCGCGAGAGATGCATGATGCGTCTGTTCAACTACATCGTCTTCAAATCGGAGAACAGAGAGGCGAATGAGTGGAAGGAGGGGTTCTCATTCGACTATGATAAAATGGAGCAAAGGTTTGGCATAAAGGCATGCGAATGGGATGAGGAAAGGGATAGGATCCCTTTGGAATATGTTCGTAGGGTTCAAAAAAGACTCGGCGGAGAGCAAGAAGAAAAAGACCTGAAAGGAGCTGGTCTAAAGGCCACGGAGGCGTTATACAGGGACGCGTCATTCCACTGCAAGTACTTCGTGTACCACGCCATAGGGAAAGTGAACTTGTTGACAGCTGAGTTGCGACGGTTGAAGAACATTGCGCTTCATCTGTGTTAGGAGAAGAAAGGGCGACGGTCGACATTGTTGCCGGTCAACATGCACTCGAAGGAGTTGCTGGTCGCGGCCGACGAAATTGTGACTGCAGCCACGAACTTGAATTGCAAGGCCGCCATCCTCGATCTCGCGAACCCGAAGGAGTGTCTTGCATGGTCGCTGACCGATTTCGATGCTCTGCACAAAATGATGCCGAAATTGTGTGGCAATAATTGGATATTGATTGTTTTTGCCCCGCAAAAACAACAAAGATTGTCATGCGACAACTTTACAATTGGGACGACGTAGAGGTGATACATGAGACTTGGAAGCGTTATTTCGTGGTCAGGACGACTGTCAGCAAGTACGGGAACTGGCAAGTCAATTACAAGGACACGATGACGATCGTTCTGCATGCCGAGGGCGGCGACCTCAAGAAGGTCATGAGGGTCCCTAAGTCAGAGGTGGTCAAGTGGAGCTCAACGTTGAGGAAGATAAGTTCAAGAGGTGCACAACAAAGCACGGCGGTGATGAAGGAAACGAACGAGAGGAATATGGGCGGTGGGAATGAAATCCAACACGGTTGCAGAAGTTATGTAGTTCGTTTCTGCACGAGGATCAGGGGGTGGTACTTATCGGAAAACTGCATGTTGGACTTGTGTGGGAGCTTCTGCATGCAGGCTATCATGTTTTTGCATGCGACGCGTCGTCCAAAGACATCTCGTACTTGACGAAGGCAATCGACATTCTTCGGAAGGACACGAGAAACGATTGCACGGTTGAAAAGCAGAAGACTTCGCATCGTCCGGACAGAGATATGTACCACAAGCTGGGCAAGAAGTGAAACAAGATGTGGGACTATCTCTTCCAAGGCCAACCCGAGTCGCCATTCGAGCATGACTACATAGTTCGCAAAGCGATGACACAGGAAGCATATGGTGGTTACCACAAAGCGCAGGTGGGTGCGTTTGCGATGTTTGTGGCGCAATGCGAGCAACTGAAGTTCACGACAAATCGGATAATGCTGACATACGATGACTACAGTAACCTCGCCAATGCAACAGATGCATGGTATATGATCGAGAGCGACAAGGAGACTGAAACCTCAGACCTCGATATCGAAGAGCAAGTGAAACGTTCGCGTGAGGGAATGCAAAGTGTGCCTGCATGCAGCGTGCAGAACGAGAATCCAGAACGAGGTCCCACGAACTCCGGAGGTGCAAGCAGTCCTGCGCGTGATGTGACGAACAGGGCGAGTTCCATTGACCAGATGCAAACTGATTCGTCGACGCCCCTCCTAACACTTCAAAATGTATTGATTCATGACAATCGTCGCGGGTTGCAGGGAAAACCTCCATCTGGAGGAAACGCGGACCACGACATGCTGGCAGACGCTGACGAAGATGACTTGGCTGTTCCAGATCCATCTCCGAAGCTCATACCTGGTGATGATATCCCCGATCACATTGTGCAGGACAGTGCACAACCGTACTTCATTCATGACAAGGTGCCAGAAACGACATCTAAGAAGTGAGAGCATCACATTTTGTAGCATACGGACGTGTTCGAGCCGTGCGTCTTCAAGGGGGAGTGGATGATGGCACTGCATCTATCATCGAGATGGAAAATCAAACCCAGACTGGCAGAAGAACCGTGGTTGAAAGTGGCGAGGAGCGAAATCGTCTTTCGTGTCAAGTGCGAAAACGAGAGGGTGGACGAGGCGGCTATTAAGGAGAAGGCTCGACTGCTGTTCGATTCTCTGCGCTAAGACAAAATCGACTGGAATATAAACACAAATTCTATGACTTGTCATTAAGCCGGTCATACAAGACCATCGATTGGAAGATCGAACTTCGTTTTGCGTGCCAAGGCATCGAGACAATCCGGTTGGGATGCTCACAGCTTGGGGGGCAGTCGACGATGCACTTTGCTGCCGGTGTTGGGGAAGCAATGAGCCAAACTGCTATCAAGATGATGGGGGTGGACAAGGGAACACGGAATGTCAACGAAGACAAATCGAACGTTGGATCGTACGCGCCTCCTCTAATAACTCAGGCGAAAAACCAGAGTGAATCGCAGATGGAGAGTCTCACTCCTTCCGCGAACATGGCGGTCGCCGATGAAATGCAACAAGGTGCGCATGCGGAACGTGCGAGTGAGGCGCAAGAAAATTTTGATGATGATGAAAGTGTTGATTGACGCGGAGAATGAGGAGAAGAGGAAGCTTGGGGGATCAACCACGTCACAGACTGTGATTAATTGTATTTTATTAAGTGATGAAGGGCAAGACGTACATGTAGAGGGGCACAATGACGATGAGGATGCAAAGGACAATGTCGATGAACAGAAGGGAGTGAATGCCGAAAGTCTCCCTATCAGACGGTCGACAAGAGACAAAACGAAAAAAACATCAGATCAATATGTAGATATATGCAGAGGGTGATATGCGTGTTCATTGGTGTGCATGTGTGTGTACATAGGGGTGTGTGTGTGTGTGTGTGTGTGTGTGCGTGTGTGTGTGTGTGTGTGTGTGTGTTTATACCGAACTCGGATAAATATTCGGAGGGAGATGCGTGATAAAATAATTGATTCCGCAGCGAATTTGAGAGGAAGTGGCAATCATGATACATAACAATCTCTCTCTCTCTCTCTCTCTCTCTCTCTCTCTCTCTCTCTCTCTCTCTCTCGATGAATTTAACGAGAGTATGATTATTAGTGTGGTAAATCATAAATATTAGTGTGTTATGTCATAAAACACTATTGACGCGGTTCGTGAAAGTGATGAAAGAGTACGAAAGAAAATAATGCAGTGTATTGGTTTCCACTACGTAAATTCATAGTTCTTATAAGCACCCCGCTCGTTTAAGATAAACCCTATTTCACATTACTTCAATAAATTGAATTCAATAAAAGTGACTAGAAATGTAAGGTGTGAAACAATAGCTCACATAAAGACATGGCGCATTGTCATGTGCAGCGCAAACGACAATGGAGGATAACCGGAGGTGCAAAAAAGGATGGACCGTCCACTTGGCAACAACGAACTTGACGGATCAAGAGTTGGAGGCCTTCACGCAATTGTGAGTGCAAAATGGGAATACAGACGCCATAGCATGCTCGTTTAGCGAAGACACAAAAGAAGAATTAACGATGACAGTCAACAATTTTAGCTTGCTAATGATAGAAAAAAAATGGTTAAACGAGCACATAGTTAATTTTTATCTTAATCTTGTCCGACTGGACAATGAATGTCTTGTGAAGCACCATAATTGCGACTTGAAGAACGAAAATGTGGTTAGAACAGGAAAAAGGGGTGCATTTCTAGAGTAGCAGTTCTACGATCATTTTTTTTCGCGAGACTATTCGATAGCGATATGAAGTTTAAGTACGAAAAGGTTCGCAGGTGGTTTACAGAGGTCGTGATTAGCGACATGGACTTGATTATTGCACCTTTCCATGTCGCGCACAACCAACATTGGACACTTGTAGTGGCAGACCTTAGGCGTATGAAAATTGAGTACTACGATTCGCTGACACCGGATGTTCAACTCGCAAGTAAGGTGACAGGGGGGTCCGCAAGATTTTTGTACATGAGATCGGTCGAACAACGTCAAGAAATTGATACAAAAAACTTCAACCATATATGGGTAGTGGAAGGCATTCCAAAGCAGCGCGACTTCAACGAGTGCGGTGTGTTTATGCTGACATATGCATCACTATTGGAGAGAGGTTTTCTTCCACCATTCACGTTCACATCAGATGATACAAAGAAACTACGATGCTGGATAGCTTTCGACGTAGCTGTTGTGGAGTAAACGCAATTTTTTCCATTTACAATAAGGCGTTCAAACACATGAAATGACCATGCAGTGATCAAAAATAGATGTGATATAGGAGAAGAAGAGTTTGTAACTGTAACGAGGATTACTTATGCGGTTCAGGAGGAATGTAACTGGTCGTGCAAGAAGGACATCTTATGAAAGGACATCTTATCTCTTACCTCTTACTCCTCTCCCCTTTACCCATGACCCCCCTATCCCGTACCCCTTACCCCTCACCCTCTACCCCTTACCCCTTACCCCCTACCCCTTACCACTTACCCCTTACCCCCTACACCCTACCCCTTACCCCTTACCCCCTACCCCTTACCCCTTACCCCTTTTTCCTATCACAAATAATTCACATATGAAGAAAAATATGGCAAAATCTTTCAGTTTCAATTTCGTTCAAAAAATAAAAAATGGCCGTTTTAACGAAATCGTAGTTTAATGTGCAAAACTAGAATGAATCCTCTGCAGAACATAGAATAATACGCCACCATATGTTTTGTCTTTTGTGCATGTGGTGAGTACAGACCCTTAGGGCCACTGCACGTATTCCTAAAAAAAGAAAAACGAGAAAAAAAAATTGTTTTCTTTTTTTCTTGTTTTTTTTTTTTCTCGTTTTTCTTTTTTCTCGTTTTCCTTTTCTTAGGAATACGTGCAGTGGCCCTAAGGGCCTCTACTCACCACATGCACAAAAGACAAAACATATGGCGGCGTATTATTCTATGTTCTGCATGAGAGTCATTCTAGTTTTGCACATTTCGTGAGTAGTGCAGCCCAACCCTGAGAATCACGTGGAGAGACCAACACGGCCTAGCTACGTGAGCAACCCATAACTGCTAAAACACAAACCTAAATTCGAATCTTGAGTATATATTCGGCCAGCTCGTGCTCTACTTTATATTCACTGTCTGCCTTGATTTTGGTGGGGAGGTCTGCGCTACATGGCTGCGAGGACCCTTCAGATAGCCTGCATGGGCTGTCTGAGCCGTGTTAGGGGGATTCCCCCACCTCCCCCCCCAAAAAAGACCCTTCACATATGATGGGGGGTGATGCGGTAGGCGGGGTGGGCCTCCGGGGGGGCTTTTTTTTGCACTTTTGGGGTTCGTTGAACGAGGCCCACCACCCCGTAGTCCGCGACAAGCGCGCGCCCCCCGGGGTCGTGCTCAATTTTTTTGCGCCACGTGGTGCGCAGCGCGTTTGAACGCGATTGAACACGGCCTCGGGGGGTATGAACGCGCGTTCAGCACGTTCAACCGGTTGCACAACTTCCAATAGTGCCACGAGTTTCCTCTAGTACCCTCACTGCCTCTAGCAGTACTGGGCTATCACTAGGACAACAGGCCCAGTGGGCTTTGGGCTGTAGCGACGGTCTCACGCCGTATAGCCGGATAGGGTCCAGGCCGAATAGGCCAAACTGAAACGGTATCGGTCCTATTAGGTCTAGGTTTACAGGAGGTTAGTCTATTAATAGGACGGAGTCGGTAGTTTAGGGACTTTTGGCTGCTCATTTTCACAACGCAGCGTTTGGGACCAAGCAAGTTGGTGGGAGTGATTGTCTACAGGCGATATCCTGAGACCCTCACCAAGGACAACAGCCATAGCCAACCTTCAAGAGGTTGTCGTAGCTGGGGCATCCTCGGAGCATTTACGACTGAGGGTATCTGCGTTTAGTTGGGCTATATTGAGACTCTCCATTGAGTATTCATGGGTGGACCACTATCGTTTATCTCTCCTCTGGAGTTATTAAGGCTTCGTCAATGTTGTGGCAACCATAGCTGCCAGTTTCTTCGTCAGAGTTGTTCATCGGCGCTGAAGGCTTCATCACAACACCTGTTCTCCATCTGGGCAGTTAGCGCTGTCCTCCGGGAGGCCATTTCAGGGTTGCACTACTAACTGGGTGTAGGATAGAGAGTGGTGTGCGGAGTACTGAGGGTGGCGAGATATTGAAACAAACTTTGTAACGATAATTGGGTTGGGTTGGCTCATCATCAGTGTAAATCCTGTTGTCATCCTTGCAGGTGTCTTCTTGTGATTGGTTGTTGGGAGTATTGTCAGAGAGTGAGAAACACTTCGTGTCCTCTCCACACCTGTGCATGGTTGTATTTTGTTGCCTATTCTCATCCGTGTACAATGTGTACTCTGTCTCCTCTCCCTTTCTTCTTATGCATGTATGGGTGTGTATAAGATTGTTTGTATGTGAGTCGCGGTGAAAATCGTCAAACAGCCAAATTTATTGCATAGGAATACTTGACGTATCGCTGGATGAAAGTACTATAGTAACTAGGCAGGGCTAAGAAACTGCGAAGCTGCTTGACGGATGTGGGAACAGGCCACTCCGCAATAGCAGTGATCTTCGCGACGACCATGTGGAGACCTTGACCCTCTTTGTGGAGGATTTCCGGCCTCCGTGGCTTCAAACGTAATAATTGCAAACGTGTGGCACCCGTACAGCGCGTCCCCCGGAAACGACAACTGCCAAATACAGAAAACAAATGTAAAAATACAATTCTCAACTTTTTTTTTTTTACTTTTTTTTGTCTACTACTGAGAAGTTCGGAGACAACCAAAATAAGTAGAAAACGACGGACTTCTAAAAAAGAACGATTCACCATGCGAGAAAGTCACGTTGATCAATGGTCGCTTGCCTAACACGCACGTTGATCAATGTGAATCGGGCTGCTCCTTCCCACTTGCCAGTTGTGCGCTGACACGCAGCTAGCCACGGTCCTCCCCTCCACGGCAGATAGGGAAACTTCACATCCGCTAGGGAAAACTTTCCCTGTATGGAAACTTCACATCTTTTATCTCGGTTTTCACCC